CACACACCCACACACCCACACACCCACACACCCACACACCCACACACATAAAATATAGAAATGAATAATTACGAAAAGAGAAGAAGTGAGGTGAGTGATCAAGGACCCTTCGGCGTGTCCACGGTTGCTGTCATGCGACGGAATGCCGAGCAGGCGGGCAGGCAAGCACGCACCCACAGAAGTGATGATAGCCGAGGCGGCGGCGGCGCGGCCTTGGGTCACGGTGACAACTCGGCGCTCGTCGTCGTCTTCCTCCTCCTCCTCCTCCTCCTCCCCCTCTTCATTGTCGGCTGCCTCGTGGTGGCCGGTGGCGCGCGTCTTCTCGCCTTGTTGGCCAGTGGGGAGCGACCGGTCAAGATGCTGCTGAGCGATCTGATGGCAGTGGTGGCGCGAGGAGGAGGAGGAGGAGGAGATTGACTCATCCGCGGCGGCAGCGGCGTGTTTCGTTCGCTTTGCGGCCACAACCGTGGTCACAACCTAACGTTTACGACGCGGCGCGGGTACCCATGCAGCACGCGTAGGTCGGTCAGTCAGCGGTGGTGCTGGCAACACACGGACACGATGGTCGCGTAGCACCCACGTGGGTTGTTTTTTTTTTTTCCTGCACCAACCACCACACCGGGTGCGAGGACGACGCACCTCGGGAAGGGCCACGCCGCCTTGCGCCGTCATCGCAATCTGCTGCGATGATCTCTTCCCTGCAGCGCACGGCCCGTCCGCATTGTCGCCTGCGAGACATGACGAACGACAGTGAGTGCCACCATTATTATTATTATTATTATTATTATGCCTCATCATCGTCGTCGTCGTCGTCATCATGATTGGTGAGCAGCGCAGCGGCGGCGGCGAATCATCGCCAAGGGACGGTGTATCTCTGCGGGAGGGCGTATGGGGGGTACCAGCATTGGCGGCGGAAAGGCCTCTCTCGTCCAACCCCGTTGCGGGATCTGCAGCAGCAGCAGCAGCAGCTGGGTGGGCGCGCGCGTTGTTGGCGCCCCTCCTCGCCACCAGGGAGCCCCTTGTCCCGACAACAACCCCCCCATGCTCGCTTGTGGCTTTAGTCCTATATTTGTGTGGTGTGGGGGGGGGGTCATGTGAGGGAACCACTGCAACCTAAGTACTTACAACAAACATCATCATGTCCGTGTGCCGTACACGTATGTATGTATGTATGCGCGCGTGGGGTTGAGTGTGGCCACACGACAACGGCGATAAGAGGGGTGCAGCAGGAAGGGCGTACTCGTGTTTCGGTGGCTCCGGTGATTCATGCACGAGCGAGTTCTCCTGAAGCTTCTCATGCGTCCGTCCCAAAGTTGCACCGAATTCGAGTCGCTTGACCGGAAGAACGGCTGTACACGCAACGCCCCACCACCACCACCACCAACCAGAAGATCTTTTAGAACGCGAACATGGTGGGAATTTCTGGTGAGGAGGGGGTATGTGCCTTGGCTGGAAAGCTGGGAGATGGAAGAAAGAGAGTTGGTGCGCTTGTGTCGTCGGCGACGTTGGTGAACTTCTTTTGTGTGTGTTCTTAATGCTAACGGGGTATCTGCCGTCTTCTGCCTTTTTCGCGCCTCCTCAACAACGTCGACCTCCTCTTCATTTTCCTTGATTTAGTGGGGAGGCGGCGTCAGACGGGAGGTCGAAGCACAAACTGGCAGGTATAGAAAAGCGCACCCAGCTTGGCCGAAACAAATTCCTAATGAATCGCATTAAGGAAGGAGAATTTTCAGGATTATGGTGTGCAGCTCGCTCATCAAGCCGGGTTGGGATGGCAGAGGGAGGAGTGTCAGAAAGCTTGCGTTTTCCATTATGCTGCATTATGGGATGCCGTGGCGTATCTGCCGCACACAAGCTCTCTTCTTGTGGGGGGGATCTTCTGATTTTGTGATTGTTTTTGTGAAGTATTTTTTTTTTGGCGGGAGAACGGGATAGCTGCCACGTATGGCTGACGTCACATGCGTAAGAGAAAGGAGCAGAAGGTTCAGCGTTCCAGCCTCTCCGGACGAAAGGAAAAGGATGCGCCACCGAGAATAGGTGTACGAACGTTCTTCTTTCGTCGTCGCCCTTTTCTGCCGTACGCCTCGTCCTGAGCTCTCTGCTGCAGGACTGGTACGCTGCATCGCTTCCACTCCAGGCACCTTTTCCGCCCATGTTCGGACGCGGACCTCTTGACCTGCGCCCGACAGCAGCTGCTACAGATCCCCTCCTCCATGGTGCCCGCGATGGCAGCACGAATGTAGGGCCTTCTCCCAACTTTTCTTCTTCTTCCTCTTCTCCTCCCCTTATGCCAGCCTCCACGGCCTCCGCTTCTTTTTCCACTCCACCCTTTCCCCACCACACGACATCGCTGTGGGAAAAGAGGACGCGCGAGCGGGACCCTTTTGACCGGCAGCAGGGCGGCGTACCTGTGGGTGCAAGCACCTCGGGGCCGCTGGCCATGTCCTCCTCTTTTTACGGCACCAGCGCCGCACCTGCTACGCGCTCTAGGGCTCCTGCTGGTGGAGAACAGCCCGTGCTCATGGAGCTCATCATCGAAGACTACCTCCCACCACCACCCCCCAGCACCAGCACCAGCACCAGCACCAGCACCAGCACCAGCACCAGCACCAGCACCAGCACCAGCACCCGCAACCATCCATCGAAGCGCCAGGTGCCGCTGCACCATGCCTCCACTCCCTCTCACAAGCTCCTCTCTACTCGCGAACCTTCGCTGGAGTCGGAAGGTCCCCACGACGGTCCGCGAGCCCTCAGCACCCAGCACACCGCCCGCAGGGGCGAGGTCCTTTTCGGTACACCCCCCCCCAAACTACCACGGTGCCCTCCCAACACCAAGGCGGATTGTTGAAGGTTGAGGGGGGGGGGCGGAGAACTGACGCCGCGATTTTCTCTCTTGCTCTCTCGCTCTCCACGACGCTGCGCATGAACTGGGCACCACGGCGGCAGGACGAGGACAGGGGCAGCAGCAGCAGCAGCAGCAGCTGAGCGGAGGTTTGCAGGAGCCGAGGCAAAGGGAGGGCGGCGCGGCTGCGACCGGAGGGGCGAAGGACCGGGGCAGCTTCATGCAGAAGATGAAGGGATGGAAGCGTGAGTTGTGGGAGGCACTCACGTCAGTGGACCGACACGTGAAGAAGAAGGCCGAAGAGGACCACCGAGAGTTGTCCGACGGAGAGAAGAAGCACTCGGTGAAGGAGTTCAAGCAAAGCTACATGCCCACCCGCGAGGCCGCTCGTGCTGTCCTCGACCCCCGCTACGCTGGCCACTGCCTGGGCACCGACATCAACAAGCTCGCCTGCGAGGGGCTTCTCTCCGAGGCGCCCTCCGTTCTCAAGGTACCCCCTCCCCCAATCTCCCCCGCGCGCTGGGGCTCCCCAGCGTCCACGTATATATCTGCAAGTGTGTGTCTCGTGTTATCGCCGTTGTCGCGATGGCCCATCACGCGCGTCTTGTTCTTGGCCTGGTGGAGCGTGGTGGAGTTGAAGTTGACCGTGTGGGCGTCTGGGCGTGCGGCGGCGGCGGGTCTCTAGGCTGCCGTGGACAAGGTGCCGCAAAAGCTGGACGAGGTGATTTCGCTTTCATCGCACCTGCTGGACGAGCTCATCGAACAGGCCAAGCGGGAGAACGCCACGGGAGACCAGCAGCAGGGGGTGAGGCTGCACAAGTTTCTCGAGTTCTACAAGGGCTACAAGGAGCGCTCCCTCCGCACGCGCATGGAGCACCTCAAATCCCGCATCGAAGCCGAAGCCGCCACGCTCGTGCAGGAGGCCTGCAGCGAAGCCCTCGCCAGAGAGGTGCGCCCCCACCCACCCACCCACCGCCCCGCGCGCGGCAACAAGGACCAACCGCACATCAATCATTCCATTTTCATGTTATTTTTATATATATATATATATATATATATATATATATATGCACATGTACGATCAAAATTATGCTAACCACCACTCAACGCTCGCGCGCGTTCATGTCCGGGTGCCAGGTGCTGCAACCGGCGGAGCAGTCGCGACCATCGTCGGTTATGGGCTACCACCAACTGCTCGACTCTTCACTCCCTCGCGTGCCTCTCGCCGCCGCACAAGCTATACAAGCGCGTGTCACGGACCTCGTGGGGCGCGCCTTGGCCGAGGTACTCTTCCACCAGCCACCACCAGCCACCACCATCACAATCACTGGAGTGCGTCGCGAAGCGCCTTCCAAGCCGGCGCGCCGGCGGTCCCCTTTGCTCACACCGATTTCGTTTCCTCCTTGGCGGCGGGCGATGGCGGTACGGTGGCGGCTGGTTGCAGGTCGACGAAATTCAGGCCGAGCTGCTCCCGCCCATGCCTGACGCCTATGCCTCGCTGGCCAACAAGCTTCACCAAATGGTCATCCACGAGGATGAGCCCCACGCCAAAAAGAGAAGAATGGAGGTGATTGATCTCACTACGGACGACGACCACGACACGAACCACCGCCCGCAGACTCACACAGACAATGCCGACGAGAATACCGAGAGCATGGAGGAGGAGGAGGAGGAGGAGCAAGCAAGCAAAGGCAGTCGCCCGCCCCTCAGGTTGGTGCGGCGAGTGTCTACTCTGGTTGAGCTGTGCATTGGTGCACCCCATCCCTCCCTCAAACCCACAAACCTGGCTTATTCTTATCGTGACGGTGATGGGTGTCGTGTGTGGTGGTGTGGTGGTGGTGTGTGGTGTGTGTGTGTGGTGGTGTGTCGCGTGCGGGGTATGGGGTATGTTTGCCACAAATACGGACTACTCGGATAGGCACGTGCGCCGAGTACGTGGACTACCTTCCGGATATTCCGGACGGGTGCTTCCCAGAAGACCTGCTGCAGCGCATGTTTACGCTCCTCATCGAGAGGGGCGTGCTGAGCGAGGATGCCCTTCACCGCCTCCTCTCTTCCTCCATGACGGGGCTCAACCTGCGCGGATGGAAGCAACTATCCCCAGCTTCTTGCAGCGTCATCGCCCGTTGCACTTTGCTCCGCCGGCTCGACCTCGCAGGCACGCCATCTCTTTTTCTTTTCCGGCGGCGGCGGCGGCTGGTGGTGGTGGTGGTGGTGGTGGTGTTCCCGTCTTCCCGTCTTCCCCGCCACGGCACCAACGAGGGGCTATCTGGTCGTCCTGTTAAACCCCCTCCCTCCGTTTCCGTGGTCGCGCTCCTTCCAGGCTGCACTGGCCTGCTCGACGAGGGACTTGCGGAAATCCTGAGATCGGCCAGCACCGCCCTCGAATCGTTGAGCGTGGAAGGGTGCACGGGTCTCACAGACTCATGGCTCTCGAATCTCTCCCTGTGCCCCAACCTACGCTCTCTCGATGCCTCCTCGTGCCCCCGCATCACCGATGCCACGCTCAAGGACCTTCCGCTCCGTTGCCCGCGCCTCACCGCTCTGCACCTTCGCCGCTGTCCTTTGGTGCGCCTCCCCCCCCAACACCCCCTCTCTGCTACATCCGCCCTTCGAAGCAGCGTGTCGTGTGTCGTGTCACACGAGACTCCTGGTGTGATTGCTTACCCGAGAGAGGGGGGTGGGTGAACATTACATGGTTCAGGTGACCGATGAAGGACTCAGCCAAGCGGGGCGCTGGACAGACCTGACGACACTCGATCTCTGGGAGAACATGCGGCTCACGGACCGTACGTTGTTGGCGGCTTCATCATGTGGCAAGCTTGAGACGGTGCGACTATGCGGCCGAGCGTTTACCGACAGTGGCATGCGCTCCCTGGCCAGCGGTTGTCCTGGTACAGTGGCCGACCACGCCTTCTCCTTCTTACTCTCGTTCGTTGGCCTTCCGTCCTGTCGTGTGTCGTGTGCCGTGTGTGTCCCAAGCTCTTCCTTCGCTTACGCCCTCCCTCGTCCCTCTTTCGTGTCCTTCCTTTTTCGGCCGTCGTGCCCGTGACGACGACGGGAAACGACAACCGGCAGGCCTGAGGTGCGTGGATGTTGCTGGCGCCTCCCTTTCGGATGCCTCTGTCCACGCCTTGGCCGACCACTGCCCAAAGCTTGTGCGACTCTCCATTCCCCACTCCGCCCGCATCACCGACGCTGCATTCGTTCTCCTGCCCGAAGGCATCCGGTTGGGCGCTGTCGAGGAGCTCGATGTCAGTCGGTAACACTTGCCCCCCCCCACCCCGCCTCACCATTACTGCGTCGACCAATTGCATCTCTCTCTCTCTCTCTTCTGCAGCGCCTCTGCACTGAGCGACGAGTTTCTGCGCGCCATCGCCCTTCGCTGCCCTCGACTGCGCCGCGTAGCTCTCGCCGGCTGCGAGCAGCTGACGGACACGGGTACCCGAAGCTCTCCTCCTCAAATGGCCTTGCGCGCGCGCTCCTCACCATTTCGGCTTCCGTCGCACACGATGTACACACACACGAACACGAACACGCACAGGGCTGGTGCTGCTGGCAAACCGATGCCAGCTGTTGACGCACGTGTCGTTGGCGCAGTGCAAGAAGATAACGGACCGAGGCATAGGCGCCCTCATCCGGGCCTCCGCTGGCCGGCTGGTGGCCCTCTCCCTGGAGAACTGCCATCAAACCACGGACGCCACGCTTCTCGCTCTTGCTGAGACCAACTGCACTGGTGCGCAAACCCCCCCCCCTCTCCTTTGCCCCCTCATCCCGCGCAGCGACCTCTCGCCGGTCGCCCGCTCCTTTCGTCCTTCCTTTCACTCTCTTCTTCTCTTTTTCTTTCGAACAGGCCTGGTCGACTTGGACCTTTCGGGCTGTGACGCTGTGACGGACGAGGGCTTGCGTGCCATCGTGGCCACCTCGACGGCGCTCGAGGGGCTCTCCGTGGAGGAGCTCACCGAGCTCACCGAGGAGGGCATCTCGCTGCTCGGTCATTTCCACCATCTCAAGCGCCTGCGGTACACCGACCTCTCAAACCGCTGTCGTGGTGGTGGTGTTTTTTTTTTTTTTTTTTTGCCTAGAACCTCACCCGTTCCTCTCTATCGCACCGGTTTTCGACCGCGTACCATACGCCGCCTTCATTCATCCAATTTCAGAGTGGGCTATTCCAAGGGCCTCACCGACGCTGCGCTTGCGACCATCGTAGCGGGCTGTGCCGAGCTGCAATCACTGGACCTCTCCTACTGCAACAGCGCGCAGCTCACCGGGGCTGGCATCGAAGCTGCGATCGGACAGCTCAAGGCCCTCGATGCCCTTTCGCTGCGAGGAGCAACGGCTGGCGCGGGAGCGCGGATAGTGCACGACCGGTTATCCTCACTCAACCTGTCCTGGTGCAAGACACTCCAGGACGACGCACTCGAGCGCTTTGCGGAGGGCTGCCCTTCCCTTCGCCACATCGACCTGGCCTGGTGCGACCAGATCACTGGCGCGGCAGTGCACCGGCTCGCCCAGAAACTGGCTTCTCTCCGGTCATTCAACCTCCGTGGCTGTCACAAGATCCCCTCCCTCACCATCCAGTTTTTAACACACGCGGGCAAAACTGTACAGCGGTAACGCAGCAAACAACAGGCGCTCTTCAATTCTTGCCACAGAACAAATCTATTGTTGCCTTCAGCACAGCTAGGCTCCGAGGCGGAGTTGGGACTTAGTTTTTTTGGGTTGACCTCGCCAAAGGCGGAGTTTTGACGTAGAAAAACACAACAAACTGTTGCGGCAATCACAACACAAGCAAGAAAATCTTGTTTTCTCGCTTGCTCTGTAAGCTCTCGACCATCCGTTTTGTTCAAAATGCGCTCCAGAGTACGGGCTTCAAGATGTGATAGGACTCAACCCTGTAGGATGCTTCATTGGGACACTAGGACCTCACCATCTCCGAGACAATGTGTCATTTTGTCAACCCCACACAAACAAAGATAGCTCGTTTTCTCGCTTGCCTTGTGAGCTTGCGACCTCGCATTTGAGTGCGGAC